CTCTCTCTCTCTCTCTCTCTCTCTCTCTCTCTCTCTCTCTCTCTCTCTCTCTCTCTCTCTCTCTCTCTCTCTCTCTCGTGCGGGTTCCAACCTGACGGGCAACCCGTTCGTCACGTTGGAGCGTAAGTGCTCGCGCGGCAAATGAGCTGCGGCAGAACGCGTTTGCGCGTTAAGTACCTGTTCGCGCGGCAAATGAGCCGCAGGCCGGTGCCCCACGTTTTTTTTTTTTTTCTTTTGGAAAAAAAAAATAAAAAATGAATGCACGGGGTGGTACCCGACAACGAGTACTACCACCCCGCACCTTCACAAAAACCCCTCCCCCCCCCCGAGAGCGCGAAAGAACGGTTCGCGGACCCCGTTCATTCGCGTCCAACGCGCGTTTGAACGAGAATTGAACGCGCGTTCAATTTTTTAACGCGGACCCCTCGTTAAATCGGATTTCGGATACATAGAAATTGGGTAGGTGAAGAACCGGTGTACATGTCACCGCCTTCTTGAGGGCGCGGAAGGAGTCCTCGTGGAGAGGTGTCCAAGCCCATGGCGGGTTCTTTCGGAGGAGGCTGGAGATAAGGACGTAGGAATACCTAGCGTATCCCTTGATGAAATTACTATAGTAGCTAATGAGGCCTAGGACGCTGCGAAGCTGCTTGGCGGATGTGGGGACGGGCCACTCCGCAATAGCAGTGATCTTCGCGTCGTCCATGTGGAGACCTTGGTCAGACACGTAGTGTCCTAAGAAATCAACTTTGTGTTGGGCAAAGCGGCATTTGCTCAGCTTGGCATAGAAGCCATGTCTGCGCAAGCAGTCAAGAACATCGCGAAGGTGTCTTAGATGCTCCTCAAGGGTACGAATGTAGATCAGGATATCGTCAAGGTAGACGAGAACGTACTGCTCAAGGATGTCCCTGAAGATGTCATTTATCGCCCTCTGGAAGGTAGCGGGTGCGTTGGTGAGGCCGGATGGCATCACCGTAAACTCGTAGTGGCCGAAGCGCGATCGGAACACTGTCTTCGGCTGGTCCACTGCAGCGACGCGGATCTCATGGTAACCGCTACGAAGATCGACCTTCGTAAAGAAGCGGTTGCCTGCTAGGCGGTCAAACAGCTTGTCGGAACGAGGCATGGAGTAGCTGTTCTTAACCGTGTAGCGGTTGAGACCGCGATAGTCGATGCAGAGACAGAGAGTTCCATCCGCTTTGCGAGCAAAGAGGACAGGTGTACCCCACGGGGAGTTCTTGGGCTTAATGAAACCTAGTCTCAGGAGCTCCTCAAGCTAACGCTTGAGTTCGGTGGCCTCAAGGATCGAGAGTCTGTAGGGTGCCTCGTGGTGAAGACGATAATCAGACACCAGCTGGATGAAGTACTCGACGTCGCGCATTCGTGGGATGTCGGCGTACGAGAACGACGATGGAAAAACGTCGTGGTACTCTTGAATGAGGTCACGAACTGCAGGCTCCAGGTCGGTCGTATAGCGTACGAGCTGCTCAGTGTCAGCATCAGCACGCGATCCGTAACGTTCACCGTAAACATGAGAGTCATGGAGATAGAAGGAGGATTTGGCTCCAGAGAGATGAGCTTGGCGTCGGGACAGGGTGGATCATAGTGCAAGAGATCCGTAACGTTCACCGTAAAGAAGGCGACGTCGTCCTGTCGGATGAAGTGGGCGAACTGCTGAGGCCAGGTGACGGTGATAGTAGGAGATGGTGTGGGCACGGAAGGCTGCGGTGGAGGAGGGTCGGGCCGTGGTGTCGCGGTGGTACCTATGAAAGGTACGCGATACGTCTGTCCACACCTCGTTTTGAGAACGAGTGTCTTGGTCGCCCAATCGGTATCGGTGCTGCGGAACTGACGAGACCACGAAGTACCGAGAATGAAGTCATTCCCCGTCTCCATCACATCGAAATGTGTAGAGGAGCGGTGGTGACGAGACGCCGGGGGACGATCAGTCGGCACGAGATAGAGGAAGAAAGGGAGGTCGGTGACCGTCTGATCGAAGAAGCGTTGGATCTTGTCATCCCCAATGGTGACAGAGATGGGAGTCGGAGACCCTGTGGTGGGTAAGCGGGCTTCTTTCACCACACATGGGTGAATGAAGTCGCCCTGAGAACCGGAATCCCACAGCGTTGAGTACACCCTCGTGGAGGTCCCTAGTCGTACGGGGATGATTGGGAGAATGCGATCAGGGTCCGAGATGATGGTGAAAAGGCGACGCAGTAGAGCGACATGGAGGGCGAGTCGCTCGTGACGACCCTGGAGCATGCTTAAGTCCAGAAGAGAGGACACAACATCCGCGCGAGTAGCGAGCTGCTCGCTGCAACGGGCTGAGCGAATGACTCGACGCATCGGTAGTCGAGGAAGGGTAGGAGGGGAGATGGTGGTCTGCGGAGGCGCAAACTGTACTGCGACAGAGGGTTGAGTACACTCTGTCGGGTCCTGCGATACCTCAACTCCAGTAGCAAGAGGGGCGAACCGCGACGGAGATGTTGGAAAGCCAACTACTGAGGAGGGTGCAGGTGTAAGAGGTAGGGGTGGTTGAAGGCGTAAGAGGGCGAGGTCGGCCCGGGTCTCGGCAAGCTCGTCCTCAAGACCTCAAACGTAGATTGAGCGAGGGGTGACAGAAGTAGACACGTGAGGGGCGTGAGGCATCCCACAAGGGGAAGGGCCAAGTGGAGCTGCGGTCGTGCGAATAAGAAGGAGAAGCGGGGCACCCGGAAAAGCTGAGACCACGACAGCGGTTTGTGATCTCGTGGCCGTGGTGACCGGAATCTGGGCGGGTGCGCCCGTAGAGTGAGGGAAGGCCTGACCCGTGGCGGTCGTCGCGCTAGGATCGTGGACGATCACCAAGATGGCCTGGTCGGGGGCAGCGGAGGAGGAAGCTCCGTCGTGGCCACCATGTCAAAGGACGGGGGACCCGGACTGAGAGCCAGGGAAAAGAGAGAGTGGGGAGAGAAAGGACGACCAACATCCTGGAGTTGCCGCAGGCCAAAAGCAAAAGTCGCCACCTGCGCCTGTAAGGGCACAAGGAGGGAGGTGAGGAGGGTGTGCAGATCCCCCTCGGGCTGAGGGCCCTGGTCCACCGGCACGGGGATAGAGCTCGGTGCCGAGGTCGTCGCAGCGTCCGCGGCTTGTGACACGTCGTCGGCCATGAAGAGGTGACGACGGGTCGGACTGGAGGGGGCCAGAGGACGTCCGCGTGAGCGGAGGGCGTAGGGGGGGGTCCGGGATAGTGAGTCGAGCGCGGGCGCCCGCAAAGGGGGAAGGGTGGTTCGAGTCCAGGGTGCCCAAATGGAAAGGGGGACTAGGGGGGGGGTTAGAAAAACCCTAAACCCTAGAAAAACCCTAAGAAAACCCTGACCGGGGTTTGAGTGGTTAGGGTAGGGTACCGGTGACCTAATCAAGAAAATAAAATAGCAAGCATGGGGAGAGGCGGGAGGAAAAATAAATAAACTATGAAATTTTGAGAGAAAAGTGAAAATAAATAAATAATTAAAATAAAATAAAAATTTAATAAACAAAATGTGAAGAGAGAAATAATATTTATTTTTTTAGAAATTGACAACGTTTCCCTACCCCACATGGGGTCAATAATATGCCAAGGGAAATGAGAGACCAAGATAAGCACACAAAGTTTCAAAAATGACAAAAATTAAAAATTTCAGAAAATAAATAAAGAAATAGGAAAGAGATAAATAAATAAATAAATAAATATGTAGATGAGGAGGTGAAGAGAAATGAAGTGTCTGATTTTTATAAAATTTTGGCAGCATTTCGTTACCCCCATGGGGTCAAAGTGTGCCGTCAAGAAGAAAGGCTAAGTAAAATGAGAAAATTTCGGTAGCACTTCGTTACCCTCACGGGGTCAAAATGTGTGCCGAAAGCAAGATGACTAACTCCTAATCAGATTTAAGGGTGCCGCAAAGAAATTCGAATTTTCAGAATAAATAAAAAAGAAAATGAAATAAATAAGAAAATAAGAGAAGAAGGTGCGGAATGAAATAATTCAAATTTTAGGAAAAAAGGAGGAAATATAAATCAAAAGAAAGATAAAAGGAAGAAAAACAGAAAATTTCAATGTTGGGGGAAAGGGAAATGAAAAAGTGAAGGAGAAAGGGGAGAAATAGGTGAGAAAAAAAAAAAGAGTGAAGGGGGAGATGGGGGAAGTGATGGGGTTGTAGTTGGGGGAGAGGAGGGTGAGGGAATAGGAGAGAAAGGGATGGGAAAGGTGGGGAGGGATCAAGAAGCAAGCAGAAAAGAGGAGAAAGAAAAATAAATGAATAGAGTTGAGTAAGATAGTGGATGGTGGGAGAAAAGGTGGGGTGGGGAGAGGGGTATGAGTGGTGAGGGTGATTAGAAGGAAGTGAGTGAGGCAGAAGAGCAAGAAGTAGAGGGGGTGAGTAAGAGGAGAGAGAAAAGGTAGAGAAAGTGGGTTAGTAGGGAGAGGGAAGAGAGGGGGATGATACCTGGCCCTTGGTGTCTCCAAGGGCACAAGGTATACCAAGACTAGGCGGTCTTGGCCTTCACTGCAGCAGCCAGCTGGAGGAGAGAGGGGGGCTGAGCTCTTGATCAGCCCCTAGCAGCAGTACTGCAGATCCAGGGTATGCTGTGTGAGCAAACCCTCACCAATGTAGAGCAGCCCCCTGATCAAGGAGGTCTTTAGTTCCACAGCAAGCTGCCACATGGCACTACAGATGGCCACGTGCGCAGGCAGCAGCAGCCACGGGAGCGGGGGGGCAGGGGGGCGGGGGAA